TCGTTGCACTCAGTCTGGTGATGGTACATAGCATGTCTACCTGGAAGGGATAGGCAGAATAAACAAGCCAGAGGAGAGAACAACGGGGAACATGGGGGTAGGGGAAGGAAGAGGGTGTTAACAAGCACAGGGACAAGGGAACAAAAAGTGATCCAAAATCAATGTCAAGGAGGGTGCAGGAGGACTTGCAGGGCTGGATCAAGGGTAATGTAACCGAGAGGAATGCCTAAAACCCAAATGAAGGCAGAACATGATAGGGGGACAAGAGGAAAGTACAAAGAAACAGAGGAAAGAACTAGGAGGCAAAGGGTAGTCAGAGATATAAATACAGGCATATAAAGATGTAAATAAATTTATATATGATGAGGGGGAAATAGATCTATGAACATATATTTATAGGTTGAGCATTAAGAAAACAGATGGACAGTGGGCCCCTGCACAAGTACTCCCCTAACACAAGAACACTTTGTTCTAACAATTCGGCAGTCTGAGATGCTCACCTGCCTGGCATGATCACTGATGACAATGGTATTCCCTTTTTATAATTCATAAATGCTGCTCATAAGGTAAAGCCGCAGATTTATCTTTCTGTAAACCTCATATTGGTTAGGGGTGATAAAGGCATCATAATACAAGTCCTCATTCAGATAATAATGCTAAACACATGATGAACTTGATGGAAATGTTGAGTATTATTAGAAAATAACTCAGAAAATTATCTTGATAACATTTGTTTCATATATGTAAACATTTTAACTTGCAGGATATATTAAATGTGAATACTATTTAAAATGCAAAAAATGAAGCAGATTAAAAATAAAGCAGATAATGCAACTCTTGAGTTGTTTTTTTTCTTAAATTATATGTAACTTATTAGTTGGTAACTCATGTTTGTTGTTATCTTTACATCAGTTTTTTATTGAGTTTTATTTCAGGTTCTTTTCTATTTATATTTAATAGACACTAAATTTCCAAGCAATTGGTAGTATTAGAGAATCTTGGCTCTCTATGTTAATTTCCTAGAGATGCTGTAACAAAATACTATAAACAGGGTAACCTTAAGCAACAGAAATATCTTCTTTCGCCATCCGAGGCTGGGAGTCTAAATTCAGGTCATGGACAGCACCAGGCTGTCTGTGAGCTAAGGAAGACTTTTCCTTTGCTCTTCCAGCTTCTTATAACTACATGTGTTTCTGGGCAGACCCTGAATTTTAGTGGCAACTTTGTACAGCTCCCTTTCATTCTGTATCTCTGTCTGTGTCTTTTCTATTTATAGAAAGACAGGACTACAATTGAATTAAGAGCCAGCCTACCCTGGAATGAGCCCATGTTAACTGATAAAGTCTTCAAAGAACCCAGATTTATAGGTAGTAGGGTTGAGAATGACAATGTATCTTTTGAGGGATACATAACATTATTAAGCTGCAACCAGAATTTGATACCTCATCAGCTTTTTAGAAAGAAAAATTTTTGTGTTATTTTATTCCATATAGAGAAAGCTTTGGTATTCTGGAATGAATATTAGCTAAATAAAATATCTAGATTCTTTGATGTATCCATTTGAGTCAGAAACCAGGCTAGTTATACTTCTACTTTGGCTATCATTTATTTTTGGCTTGCATTTGGGAATACTCTTTTGAGTTTTTTCTTTCTTTTTCTTTATTTATTTATAAATCAGTTTATTGGGGGCTCATACAACTCTTATCACAATCCATACATAAAAGCATATTTGTACATTCATTGCTCTCATCATTCTGAAAACATTTGCTCTCCATTTAAGCCCCTGGCATCAGCTCATTTTTCCCCTTCCTCCCTCATGAATCCTTGATAATTTATAAATTATTATTTTGTCATATCTTACACTGTTCAATGTCTCCCTTCACCCACTTTTCTGTTGTCCGTCCCCCAGGAAGGTTATATGTAGATCCTTGTTATCGGTTCCCTTTCCACCCCACCCTCCCTCCACCCTTCCAGTATCGCCACTCACACCACTGGTCCTGAGGGATTTATCTGTCCTGGATTCCATGTTTCCAATTCCTATATGTACCAGTGTACATCCTCTGGTCTAGCCAAATTTGTAAGGTAGAATTGGGATCATGATAGTGGGGGGGCGAGAGGGGAGGGTGAAGGAAGTATTTAAGAACTAAAAGAAAGTTGTATGTTTCATCGTTGCTACACTGCACCCTGACTGACTCATCTCCTCCCTGCCACTCTTCTGTAATGGGATGTCCAATTGCCTACAGCTGGGCTTTGGGTCTCCACTCCACACTCCCCCTCATTCACAATAATGTGATTTTTTTGTTCTAGTGATGCCTGATATCTGATCTCTTCAATACCTCGTGATCGCACAAGTGATCAAAAACAAACATGTTTACCTGAGTTTTGATTTTCTTGTATTGAAAGTATGAGTTGTAATTCCTATGTTCTAGGGTTGTTTTAAGATGAACTGAAATAATACAAGTGTTGCCTTTAAATGCAAAAATTAATAACAATGAGTATAGTAATGAAACTTTTGTTGCTATAAAAAAAATTAACAATGTATTCTTTTTAAAGTCTGGTAGAAGTGGGAAGACAATCCCAGAATTAGAAAAAACCATTGGTTTAATGAAAAAAGTAGTTGAAAAAGTCCAAAGAGAAAATGAGCAGTTCAAAAAAGCATCAGGAATACTAACCAGTGAGAAAATGGCTAATATTGAGCAAGAAAATGAAAAGTTGAAGGTAATTTTTTTTTTAATGGTCATTCATGGGAATGTTTCACTATTACAGTTTTTTAGACGTTTTTAAAAAACATACCCATTAAAATATAAAGAGTTTAAATGGATACAGTAAATATTTTCATATATAGAAAAAAGTTTACTGTAGACAAGTTTTGTTACAGATTAGCTTTGCTTGGCTCTCTTTATTTTGTCATAACTAATAGCATAAAATGACACCGTTGGCGCTTTTTACAAAATGCAGATATCTGAACCTCAACTCTGAGATTGGTTAGATTGTTTTACGGGGGAGCCCAGCATATGTGTTATAAGTTATTTGATTTGTTTGTTTGTCGTTCTAATATGCACCCCTGGTTGAAAACCTTTGATATAGATACCCAGTATTCAAAAGAAGACTTTAATTAGAATCCTATTAAATATAGTTTCTTAAAACCACTTTGATTTAATGTTTGTGAATTTACAAGATCATCTTCCATTTTTCCCTCCTCTTGATAATTGTATTTCTTTTTAATTATTATTTAGTCTGAATTGGAAAAACTTAAAGCTCACTTTGGACATAAGTTGAGCATGCATTATGAGTCTAAGACCAAAGGCACAGAGAAAATTGTTGCTGAAAATGAGAGGCTTCGTAAAGAACTTAAAAAAGTATGGCTTTTATTACTGATTGTATTTTATTGTAATTAATACATCTTGGAAAAGATGAGAAATAGATTCTTTATGAGCATGTCTACCAGAGGAAGAGATCAAGGAGATTTAGGATTTATGTTTTTATTCCTGCTATGATCACAGCCTTTCATCATTAGCTAATGATAATAAAAAATTAATAAATTTGGAGGCAGTATAATGTAGAAGCTGGACAGCTGAAATTCAAATCCTAGCTCTCTTACTTACTGGTAACTAGGGAACGTTGCTTAACTTTCCTGTGTCTCAATTTTCTTACCTGTAAAATTGGAAATGATAATTATATGTTTCACAAATTGGTGTGGCAATTTATATGGAATTTAATTGAAATAGAATCTTAATGTACGGTAAAACTATAGTGATATTTTGCATTGAATATGAATATTTAATATTGGAAATGATTTCTGTTATTTGAATATAGTTTATGCATATAACTAAGTCATGTATTGGGGGATCAAAGCATCTTTTACATGTGTGAAAACAGAATAATATCCCATTATTCTAAAAGTTTTAAGGAGGAAACAAAGTCAGATAGAGATTAAAGTAACTACTATAGTAAAAAGCTTGTGAATTTAATTTTCAAAAGTCATTTTCATGATTTATTGTTCTAATTATTAGGACCATATTGCCTTTTAGATAGTACAGGGAACATTGCATTTTTTTAATCAAAATGTAGAACTTAGACTTTGTTTTGTTTTGTTTTTTCAATTTATAATAAGTTTGAATATACTGTGTCCATAAAAACTATTATATGTTGTCCCAATATACTAATTAGTTTTTAATGATAGGAAACTGAAGCTGCAGAGAAATTACGGATAGCCAAGAATAACTTAGAAATATTGAATGAGAAGTTGACAGTACAACTAGAGGAGACTGGTAAGAGGTTACAGTTTGCAGAAAGTAGAGGTCCGCAGCTTGAAGGCGCTGACAGCAAGAGCTGGAAATCAGTTGTTACAAGGTAGGAATAAATACTTTAAACTTGTATAAAGTTTAATCAGTTCTGTTTCTGTCATCCTTACTTTAAAAGTATATGACATGATTTGATTCATTTAAAGATTGTGATGAGTTATTTAAAGGCTCTGGCCTTACTTTCATTTCCAACTTTAAGCAGCTCCTTCTAGGCATCTGAAAGCTGTAGATGAGTTGGACCTCGGCCATGTGGTTTTCCATTCAAGCCGTCCTGCATGGAATTAATGGTTTTACCAACTCCAGCATATCTGCTCTCTCTCTTTTCAAGCACTCATCTGTTACATATTCATAGAGTTCCTTATGTCTACACATTATGTGTCCACTTGGATGTCTTTGAGCTGTCCATCTGCCCCACCTGCTGTTGGGGGTGGCCCTAATGGGGGATGGAATGGCAGCTACCAGCACTAAAACTAGATGGCACCTCAAGCCTGTTAGGCTACAGAGGTCCCTCAGTGGGCCCACCATACTACACTTGCCCCTCCCTGCCAAATCTAAGGGAAAAAGAGAAGGGCGAACGAAGCAGATAAGAGGGCAGCCTAGATGTCCTACGTTTTGTCCTAATATAGCTGGACTAAACAGAATCTACTTTCTTCTGTCACATTGTTTCCAACTTACATAAATCCTTTGTCCACCAGAAGAAAGCATTGTCCCTCCTGCACCATTCTCATAACCATTGCTGTGCTTGATCCTATTGTTTTAGCCACTGTGTCTGCCCTTCCATCTCATCGAAGGTCTTCCTTTGTCACGGACTCTCGACCTTAACAAGCACGAAACTCGACAGTCTTGCCATCCTCGCTTATAAGATTCATTGTGGCTATTCTTCTTCCAAGACAGATTTGTTCATTTCCACCCCCTCAAGACCTCCCTTTTTCAATCAGTGATCATATAATAGGGTTTAGTGAGGGTTACATGAAATAACAAGAGCAGATTATAATGGAGGGGAGGAATTTCTTCCTTTGTTCTATTGGAATTGAGTAATGCTCTCAGCCAGAAATGTTATCAGATGATATTCCATAGCCTTCTGCAAGCACATGTGGAGTCAGGGAGAATTTGCTATTATTTTGAAATTCTTTAGTTTTATGTATATTTACTCAGTACATGTTACATAGGCACTAAAGCTTCATGCTTGATGAATTTTTTAAATCATTTTATTGGAGGCTCGTACAACTCTTATCACAATCCTTACATACATCAATTGTGTCAAGCACATTTGTACATTTGTTGCCACCATCATTCTCAAAACATTTGCTTTCTACTTGAGCCCTTGATATCAGCTCCTTTTCCCCCCTCCCGTCTCCCTCTCACCCACTTCTCTGCTCTCCGTCCCCCAGGGAGGAGGTTATATGTAGACCTTGTCATCTGTGCCCCCTTTCTCCCTCACCTTCTACCTCTACCTTTTAAAGTGAGCCTTCAGGTCTGCTTTAAAGAGAGCAGAGAGTATATTTTCATGTTGTATCGTTTCAAGATTTCTCAGATTTTATAATACTTTATCAGATGAATTGGTTCAGTGTAAGAGAGAGCTTTAAAAAGTCTGTGGAAAATGGAAATAAAAAATCATAGATTCCCCCCGCCCCCAAGTCTTTGAAGCATTCTGATATTATCAGAATTTTTTTCCTAAAAGTGGTTCTGTTTGTATAATGTACTTAGTCTTCAGACTATATTCTTTAATTAATCTATATTTTAAAATACTGTTAGTTTCCTCCAGCACATAGGACAAAATGTTCAAAAATTAACTTCTGTCATATTTTGTACCAAATGCAGATATCACTCAAAATTCCTGGTTAAAAAATTAAATTTCCAATCCCTCTGGTTTGCCCTTTCATAATTTATCCCCTGGAATATTCTCCCACCAACTTCATATCTCCTGTATCATAAACAGTTTATCTTACCCACAGTTGGGAGATCCTTTCCCTTTCCAAAACTGCAATATTTTCTGTCTGTGTGATAGAGAAATGCTTTGCCACCTTTAAATATACTCATAGCATTATCCATTAAGACAGATTCTTGATGAATTCTGATTAATTCTACTTCATATTTTATTTTGTGAGTGGGAAAATGTGTTACGTTTACATTTTTAAGTAAGTCAAATTCAGGCTCCATCTTTGTTTATAACCTTGGAATATACTTGATTTACATTGACCTGTCTGCTGATTTTACCCGAGTCTGCAATCCGTGTCCATGGAAGCAGCAGTCAGAGCTGCACAAGCTCTCTTTAACGTGCTGCAGAGTCAGCGTATGACTTTGAGGACTAAGGTGTCTTGACCATAGCCATGACATTTTCAGTCATGCTCCTGACCCTACCCCAGGACATTTTCATTGAAAGTTGGACAGCGAGTAAGACTGAAGAACTGATGCCTATAAACTCAAGTTGGTAAAGAATATTAAATGTGCCATGGAGTGCCAGAACAAAACACAAACCTGTGTGTACAGAGTATAGTCAGAATGTTCCTTAGAAGCAAAGAGAGTGAGACTTCATCTCACATCCGATGGGCAGTCTCAGGAAGAACCAGTCCCTGGAGAAAGACGTCATGCTGGATTGACACAGCAACTTGAAGAATGAGATGGTGTCATTCTGTTGTACAGATTCACTTTAAGTTAGAATCAATGCGACTGCACCTGTTGATTAACAATGGTTATTCCTTACTATTATTATCATCCTTTAAATCTAAATAATTATGTAGCAAAATGGTTAGCCCATTTTGGTTAGATTCTAATTATTAAAGTGCTTATTTGAATTGATGTTTAAATTAGAGGGAAAATTATTTACATGTCTACACAATTTTTCCTTTATAATTTTAGAATGTATGAAACCAAATTGAAAGAATTGGAAACTGATATTGACCAAAAAAATCAAAGCATTCTTGATCTTAAACAGCTTGTAAGAGAAGCAGCAGATAGAGAGCAAAAAATTAAGAAATACACTGAAGACCTTGAGCAACAGGTAAGTAATGTACTTTTCATTTATGTAATAAAACAGTGGGTTATATCATAAAGTACTGCTTGGCTTTATCATGTAATTTAAATTAATTGCTCTAAAATGCTTAAGTTAATGGCATCTATTCACCCATTTCTTTAAGCTAACTTTAGGTTATTATTGGCTCGTGTGTTTCTTCCTCTCATAGTCCATTATATTTTTCAAGAGTAAATTATGTCAGTTCTGTTTCAAAATATATCCCAACCCTGAGTAGTTCTTCGCACCTCCACCACCACAGTGTTAGTCAAGGTTTTATAATTCACACCGGAACTACAAACATTTCACGACCGGTCTTTGCATTCATCTTCATCCGCTCACTATGCCTAGTCTGTCCTCCACGTAGTTACCAAAATGACCCTTTGAAACGTAAAGCAAACCAGAGTTCAAATCAAGAGCAAATATACAAGATGGGGACAATACAGAGATTGGCATGGCCCCAGTATAAGACTCACATGCAACTTCATGAAAATAAGTTTTAGTGCTTACTTCTACTTCTTGTTCAGTGTGTAGTGCTTGGGGTTGTAAAAGTTTGTGAGTGGCCACCCAAAATACAAATGCTATTCTGTATTCATTTAGAATATAAAGAAGAGTCAGGAACGGGACTAGTATATGGAATGTGTTGTTAATTGCTTCCATAAACAATTGCTGTCTTTGCCGTGAAATCAGAAGATTCCTGGCTACCATTATTAACATTACTGCCATTCTTCTTTAGAAAAATCTTTGATCAAAAGGAGGGAAAGGCAGAACAGAATTTCAAATTCTCATGGACCCCAGACTTCTTAGAGCCATGAAGGTTGGATGAATGGTGAAACTATTACCCTTAAATAATCATTAAACCTTACACCAAAAGTAGCCCCTGAAGCCTTCTGAAAGCTAATGTATAGTTTAGCTTAACTAGTAAAAATTATCTGCCTTAAGCATTTTTCTTTTAAACTATCTAGATGGGATCGACTTGACAAGAGTAATTGTAAATATTAGATACAAATGTTACCAGACAGTGCATTCGTTAATGAGGGGAGGACTGACTCGGAAAAGGAGGGCTAGAAAGATTAGACAACTTGGTGAATGTTTTAACCAGTGTCACCATATGGTACATGTGGAAACTGTTGAATTCATGTATATTTTACTGTGTATATTCTCAACAAATAATTTTTTAAGGCACATCATTAAAGTTCCAATCCCAGAATCTTCTAGTGCCCCTCCCCCCTCTACCCGCACCTCCCAATATCCCTGGAATAAAATTATACACTTTTCTGGCATCTGGTTTCCCCCATCTACTACTTCTCCCCTCAATCACAATATTTTAACCTCACTGACCTGTAGTCCTTTCAGTTAACCAGATGCATTCATGTGTTCTATTCACCCAAGTATTCTCATAGTTTACTCCGTTACTTCATGTCTCTGACTGAATGTAGGCTTCTTAGATAAGTCATCCTTAACCATTGTGTACCGCCTCTATCTGTCACCTTCCCCTGGAGCATTCTTTTTTTTTTAAAACATTTTATTAGGGGCTCATACAACTCTTATCCCAATCCATACACACATCAATTGTGTAAAGCGCCATTCACTGCCCTGCTGGAGCATTCTTGGTAGCTCATCCTACATAATACATCATATAACATCACAAGGTCCTTTATATATTTACCACACACACACACCCCAATCTGTGTAAGGGGCATATGGGTAGCACTTTTGCCCATTTTGTTTACTACTGAACCCTCAGTGCCTAAGGCATTGCAATGTAGTAAAGCTAACTGTCTAATGAATAGTGATTAAACACTACCAGAATGTACAATGTGTTTTTAAATGCATTGTTAGAGCAGTTGTAGGTTTACACAAAAACTACTTAGAAAGTACACGTTTTTTTCTTACATACCATCTTCTTTTTATTCTACTAATATATTGTATTTGCACGGTGTATGAAGAAGCACTCCCCCCCCAAAAAAAAAAACAAAACAAAATTTAACACACAACAATGGAATGCACTGGGCAGAGCTGAGCTTTTGTGGTACACATTTTTCCCACCAGGAGAGCATTGAGCCACCTTCTCTGAGTTAGTGCGTGCAGTGGCATCACTTGGGAAGGTTCTCTCTGCTAACAGTGAATTTTTTATAAAAGCAGTTTCACTCAAACCTCATTTTTTGTGATGGCCAATTTAAGAGAGCAGTTACGAAATTTTGTTTCCTGCTCCGGAAAATGCCGCATAAACTGTTGTGATGTTGAACACAGCTTACAAGGACAGGGCTATGGGGAAAAAACTCAAGTGTACAAGGGCTTTCTCATTTCCAAAAAAGCGAAATGTCGATTCATGACAAATCTTGTCTGGATGTCCGTCAATTTCCCAAAAGAACAAAAATATCGGCTCGTAGTACATTTAGAGTCTGTTCCACCAGATGAGGCTGTTACTCAGCTTTCTATTTACAGGTTCTGAAAAGATTGCATAACAGTGTGCGACAAAAAACGCCTGACTTGTGGCAGAGAGGGGACTGGTTTTGCCACCATGACAATGCATCTGCTCACGCAGCCATCTAAGTGCGCCAGTTTTGGGCAAAAACAGCATGTCTCTCTAGCCCCACACACACCTTACTCACGTGACCTCATTCTGTGTGACTTCTTTTTGTTCCTGCAAATGCAGAGGGAAACGAAAGGACAGCAATTTGATGGCCTAGAAGTGAATAAAGAAAGGGGGGGCGGGGGGCTGGGTTGCCGTCAGCCATTCAAAAAATGAGTTTGAAAAATATTTCCAAGAATGGAATCACAGATTTCACAAATGTATTAAGCGTAATGAAGAGTAGTTTGAATATAAAGTTGTTTTATTAAAAAGTTTAAATACATAGCTTTAAAAAAAATCCTTATTTTGGGGGGCACTCCTTCGTATGTTAAATTAACCAATATTGATATAGTATTAATTGAAGTCCATCTTATATTAAGGTTCACTCTGTGTTGCAGTTTTAACAAATGCATATTCTATTCTAAAACCAAACTCACTTCCAACTCATAGCAACCCTGTAGGACATTTTAAAATCCCTTACTTATAAGCCTGCACGTCTTTAAAGAAGCACATTATCATATATTCCTATCATACAATGTATATTTACTATTACAGTAGTAATGCAAAATAATTTCACTTCCCTAAACTACTTTGTGCTTCACCTATTCATCTTTACCGTCTTTTGTTCAGTTTCTGATCTTTGGCTTTTACAGATTATTAATAGAGTAGGAATCCTACACCACCTCAGTCTGGCTTTTCATATTGGTATTGTTAAGTTCCATCTTATGAGAGCTTAGTTCATTTGATCATTGCCTACTCCATTGTACGGATGTTATTGGATTATCGTCACCTACTGCTTTCTTAGTTGGGTCTGGTTTTCATCAGTATGTTTCATAAACAGCTGTCAACATTCATCTGCAGATTTTTTTTTTCATTCAAATTTTCAATTATATAATAGCTAGGAGTTCAATTGCTAGATTGTATGGTAAGGCATGTGTGCTTAAAGCTCAGCTTTTAATATTTATACTTTATTGAAAATGTGTATTTATAAAACCTCAAATTTCCGTGTGAAACTTTTTCTAACTTTTCTGTGCTCTTAAGATTGAGATTCTCAAAAATGTTCCTGAAAGCGCTAAGACAGAACAAGGCCTTACACAAGAGCTCCAAGTTTTGAGGTACGTTACTTCATTGTCCTCTTTCTCATTTAATGTAATCACATTTTACTACAGCTGGTAACTAGGATTTTTCAGCCTTGCTGCTTTATAGCCTCACTGGGTATTTAGCAACTCAATGGCAAGGGGTCTAATGCCAGTCACTGTATCTTTTACATAATTCATACTGAAAATGGGTAAACCCAAATCATAATTATTTTTCCACTTTGTAATTTAGTTTAAATTTACTATTGGGATAGAATATTTTAAATGTTAGATTCCTAGAGACAAATACTACTGAGATGGAAAAAAATCTAATTCCAGGGGTCTGTGTAACCTGTCTCACTAGACTTTTCTTACAGAAAACTACTTGTTTAAAGTACATCAGTTTGTCAGGGACCATCGAATCAGTTGCAACTCATAGGGACCCTGTATGCAACAGCAAGAGTAAATATTAATAAAGCAATAATTTTTATTCCACTGAGGGAGGCTTCATTAAAGCATTGAGAATAAAAATAAATGCTTCTCTTTATTAATATTAGAATATTCAAAGCACTGCACATCAATAGTTCTGAAGAAATGCCCCCTTAAACTGGGAAGTGATATCTTTTTATTTATTCACTGTATTATCATTGTGTTCTAGATTAACTAATAGTCAACTGGAAAAGGAAAAGGCAGAATTAATACATCAGATAGAAGTTAACAAAGACCAAAATGGTGATGATGAAAGAACCAAACTTGGTAATGTATTTCATTCAAAACACTTACAGCACGTTAACCTACATTTGAAAGTGTGCTTTTTTTTTTATTAGTAAGACCTCTAATAACAATCTTATTATAAAATCAATGCATGATGGGAATTTGTAGCAGTTTACCTCCCAAGCAACAAAATATTTTCAGTGAGTCATTTTCAGGTTGACTTTACAGTAACACATACCTAAGGTTTTCTTTCTACTTGCGCTCCATCTGGATGTGACGTGTTGTCAAAATGCAGTAAGTAATGGGGACTAAGACCTATTTGTCTCTGAGTATAGACCCTTCAAAGGCCTCTGAAGAATTTCTTCTAAATGTTAGTGTAAGTTTTTGTTACTGATTTGAAAAATACAAATAAAATTACCCACAACAATTTTCTTTTCCAAAGTAAAAAGAAATTCTATTCCTTGCCATTCCCCTTTATTAACATATGTATAGATTTTTCTGTATATGAATAAACTTGGATTCATGCTATATACATCTACAGCTTTTTAAAAGTTTATACTTGGCTATCCTGTTTATTTGTACATAGATAACATTTTTAGCTATACCAGTGTTTTATCATATGGGCAAAACTGATTCTGTTCTTTTGAGGCATACTTAGTTTGCTTCCACATTTCTATTATAATACTAAACACCTTAATGTAATAATATCATTTGATAATTTGATAGAAAGGCCAGATTCTGCTCCAAAGGAATATATAAATTTACATTTGAACAAACTTTATTTCATATCTTCCTCGATATCCTACGCTCTAAGCATGTTGCTCCTTGGTATTGGAACTATCATGTGAGTTGTACAAGACACTATCCTGTTTGCTTTACAGGCATTCTGTAACTTCTTATAAATCTGTTGGTTGGTTAAGTTTCCATTTTACATATGTTAAAGCAGATTCAAAGAAAATTCACCACCACCACCCCATTCTGTGTCACAAAAGCTAAGTAGTGGCAAAGGGATATACCTACCCATTGCCATTGAGTCAGTTACAATTTATAGCACTGCCCCCTGGGATTTTCACTGCGGTGGAGGTAGTGGGGTAGACTGCAACATCTTTCTCTGGTGGAAACTAAAGAAACCAAACTTGCTGTCATGAATCAATGTTGACCCAGTCGTGCTCCCACAGAGCTGCTAGTTTTGAACTGCCGACCATGCACATTACATTACAACCCAACATGTTTTGGTTGGCAGCCAATGGCCTTACTCACCATGCCACTGTGGCTCCTTAGGAAACTGCAGAGGCCTCATTCTGCCATACTCTTAACCACTGTTGTCTCTTGGTGACTAAGTCTGTCTTTTTTGACATGTCTCCTTTAGGAGCCACCTGGTATACTAGGCAAATCATAGTACCAGAGATATTATTGACATCGATATTTGATATGTTCACTAGTCTTTCTAAATCTGTGGCCAGAGGGAATTTCTTAACTGTTATTCTTTTTTTCCCTCCAATGAAGGAAATATGGATACCGGTCATATTTCAAAAGGAATCCTGTTAGTATTGTACATTTGGCAGTGGGCTAATTGCAAGACTAGCAGTTCAACCCACCAGTCTTTCTCCGGGAGAGAGGCTCTACTCCTGCACAGATCTTAACTCAGAAACACACCCTAGGCAGGGTGCTATGAATCAGAATCAGTTTGATAGTAGAGGGTTGGTTTATTTTGGTTATATTTCAAAGATTGTTAAGGCTCAAAATCAAGACCAAACCCACTGCTATCAAGCAGACTGATTCCTAACAGGCCTATATAGTATATAGGATTTCTGAAACTATAAATCTTTACAGGAGCAGGCAGCCCCGTCTTTATCCTATGGAACAATTAGCGGTCTTGAATTGCCAATCCAGAGCTCCTTATAGCCTTAAAAAAAAACAGAACCAAAAAACTCAATGCCAAGTTAAATCTAAAATGGGTCATAAAATAACATTTGGAAATGCTATTTTGGAATATCCAATATTCACTTTTACTATATTGGCTCATTACCAGTCTGGATCAATATTATTACTGGTAACTCTTCTTCACAACCACAAGGACAGGCGTGAACTATACTTTGTTCTCCCTCCCAAAGGAATGTGGGTTCTTCCTATGCCAGTCCATAGATATTTCCCTATCTCCACTCTTCGGTCCTCAGGTTTTATTTTGGACAGTTCCAAGACCATCTTAAAATTATTTGCTGCCCATTTCAAAAAAAGGAAGAAAGAAAACTACCTATTTGATATTTTACCCCTCAAGGCTGCCAATTATAACCCTGGGGCACATTATATGTAGTCTTTAATTCAAACTTAGGTAAAAATCAGCTAGCAAAAATGGTATTAAGATCCCACGTACCTGGATCTCATGTAAAATTAGATGTCAACTCTAGGTGAGAAATCCAGGAGGCTCAACTGAAGGCTCCTGTGCTAACTGTGACTACTTTTATGTCCAGTGGGAACATCAGAGCCACGTCTGCTATCTTGGAGTTCCTTGCCCAGCCTGTTTGGTAGTTTGTATGGTAAAAATGTACTCAATGACATGGAACAGCCAACTTCTGTGAGGAAGTTTCAAAAAGTTCCTGGAAAAATCCATTATCTTTTCATTTATCCATAAACTTTTTGAAGCCCTTTTGAATTGGGTAACAGAACACTGGAACGTGTGACCTATGGTTATAGAACAGTGTGTTTTTCTTCTTTTACTTAATGTACCTGGCAAATTTTCTAATTTCTAGGATTTTTCTCTGGAAAACACGGACTTCATTATGAAAAAAAATTAACCACACTTTTTAGTTTTAGTACTAAGTAGATGCTGCTTCTTTCAGCTTATGATGAAATAATACCTGACACAACCAACATATATTATTTATGTCTCCAAAGGCATTTCAGCTGTCAAATACTGAATTTTCCATGTTCTCCACTTCTTAATTGCCATGCTTATTCTGTAAGTTTCATTTTGAACTTATTCACCATGAGATAAACATGAGACTCATTTTAAAAATTTTTTGACAGATACTGAGCAACTAAAGGAAAAGGTGAAAGATATAGAGACACAGCTTAAAATTTCAGACGTAGAAAAGCAGCAATTGAAGGTAATTAAGTATTCAAATATTTGACTTTTGAACTATCAATGTCTTGGGGAAATAACAGTTGGAAAATTTTTCTGTCATCACCCAATTTTAAGTATTAAGTACATATTCTAAAACTTCCTAAAATTAAAACTTTAAATATTTGATCTTGCAATAGAATGAATGTTCATCATTCTATTGTGCAGAGGTGACTAAGAGTCAGAACTGGCTCGATAGCACCCAACATGTACAAAGCATTAAACCAAAGCTAGGAAAATACAGATGCAACAAGTAGAACCACAGAAATCGTTCACTGCTTTAATGTTCTTCAGCTTTGGGTCACACGGGGAAGTGTTTTTTAGTACATTTTGAAAATCTTGAAACTAATTTTCTTACTGCGTGTAAGGTTTTATAAAGATGAAAATAGGGCACGATCATTAGAACTAGCTAGCAATCACTGGCTGTACTAGTAGCCTCAAATTATCCCCTTGCTTAGATGCTTAACTTGTACTTAAATGGAAGCCTCAGAACTGCTCTGCTTATATACTTATAAGAAAATGACCATTATTCCTTGAAAATTCTGTCTTTGTAAATACTTTTAATTTGTAAAAACTCTTAATCACAGTAACTCCAATGCTATGAATGGCTAATTAATTTTTTATTCTCTCACTAAGAATACCTAATGTTTTCAGAGAAAGATTAAGTTTCACTATAAAAAAAATTGACAAGCTTTAGTCAAAGAGCAGAACGTAACTTACAGAACACTGTGTTCTGACAGTTGAAAAGTCAGTGATATTTCATAAACAAAATTTTCAGAAATACTTCTGTCTTCATGCCTATGGTTGTTTTATTCAGGTTGCTTTGGCTCTCATGTTTAGTTAAAATCCACTAGTTGAAACCTACAAAATGTGTATTTCTTTGCACCTTTTAAACATTCTGTTTCTATTAGGAGCAAATTAAAAAGCTGAAAAAGGAACTGGAAAATTTTGATCCTTCATTTTTTGAAGAAATTGAAGATCTGAAGTATAATTATAAGGAAGAAGTGAAAAAAAATATTCTTTTAGAAGAGAAGTTAAAGAAACTTGCTGAACAGTTTGGATTTGAACTAACTAGTCTTACTGATGCTTCTGAGCAATTTGAAGATGAAGATGAAAGTCCTGCTAATTTTCCCATTTATTAATGGCCTCCCATATTTATATTACATGTAGTTAGCTATTAACTTCGTAAGTTAAAATTCCATCGAAAAATCAAGTTTCTGAACTGTAGAATTTTATTCTCTACCTAAATATTGTACATTTTACCCAAATTGTAATTTTTAATAAATAAAGTTATATGAAATTCTTAACTCATTAGGAAAGTATACATTTTGGAGACTTAGATTAAATTAATAAATAGGCTATGAGCTAGGTTAAGTTGCTATACCTATTCAAGTTTTAAGTCTTGAAAAAGGATAACACTTTAATATTTAAAATTTAGATTTTAGTATAACTATATTTATTTATATATGCTAATATTCTTGGATTCAAAGTGATAATATATATAGCCCATAAGGTTGAACATATTTTATTAATATAAAGATACAGAGTTTAAACTATTTGATTTAGAAAATGAACAATAAGAACCTTAAGCTACCTCTACCTTTTAAACATTCATGATATTAAGGATCCAAATATAATAAAAAGAAGGCTTACTTAAATTATATTTCCATTTATACATCAAACATTATATCTTTGAGCCTACCAAATTTCTGATTATCTATTTTTAAAAAATAATTAAACAAACAGTTAGAATCAAAAGCACAGTCGTATTTGTTTAGGTCCATGTTGATGATAACTGGTTTTGAATTCATGTAAGTATCTGGAATTGGCCAATGTAAACCAAGATGATGGCGATGGACCTGGGAATTGGAAAATGGGTGTTAGTTTCAGTTTACAGATTATGATCTTCAATCCTGTGCTCACTTGTTAAGTCTACCCTCCCCCCTTCTTCCCCCCTTTTTATGACATTATACACATTTACCATCTAATTCCCCATTACAACGTAAACTTTAAGAAGGCAGATGCATTTTATAATTATTTCTAGCACTTGCAGGAACATACTCAGGGGCCCCATAGAAACTTAATGGGTGAATAAAAGTCTGTTTTTTAATACAGGAGAGCTAACAGTGGGAAAATTGAATAAAAAAAAAATGGTGTTTTTTGCATTTACTGCAATTAGCATGGTTAAACTAGACGATACATAATGTGCGGGGGGAAAGGTGGATTGTAAGAGTTAAGGGAGAGCTCGAGCATCAACCGTCTTAATGGCACTCCCCAGCTTCATGCGGGGGGGGTGGTGTTCTCGTTGACCTGCGAGGACAGGACAAAGGTAAGATTGAAAGATACTGGGTCAGAGAGAGTGTATTGTATGGATCAGAGGGTTAGGTCCAGTTTTAAACGTTATAGATTTCAGGTACTTAGAGAAGGCATACAAGAGATGGAAGAAGGACCAAAATTACAAAATTCATTCTGTATAAATTATGACCATGACACTCTTTGACACAAAAGAGTCTATGATCAAGTAAGCTTCAGAAATGCTGAAATAAACCAAGTTAAACTATATAGGATGCCAGGAGCACTAATGTGCAACATAATTCCCCAAGAAAAGTACCGTAGTATGTATTGTTTTCCAGAGTTTGACCATGCAATTCCTAATGCTAAGGTACCTTGATTAAACAGCCATCATTGCAGTGCCATACAATTCCTTCAATTTTGCCCTCTCTGCAACCTTCAAACCATGACAACAGATCATTGTGGTTCAATGTTGGCAGATTTCTCACTTGAAATGCTCCATGTGGAATAAGAAGATGTAATGGACGCTTCTTGCTTCCTAATCCTGTGACACAATTTGCCATTAGTCATACTTAGTCAAAGGAACTTTCCCAAGAATGACAAAATTTACCTCTACAATTGGGGAAGGGGAGGCACATTATTCTTATTAAATCCAAATTCTACCTTGTGTTTTTAATCATCTGTGGATCAGATTCAGCCAGATCCCTGTTTTCATAATAAAGTTTAATGGGAATAGCCACATCTACTATTTGCATATTACCTACTGACCAATCTATGGGCCCACAGAGTTTGAATATTCATGATCTGGCCATTAACGGAAAGTTTACATTAACACTAACATTCAGCTATCACTTGAGTTGCTGCTACACAGTCCTGCTATATCTCTCACTGACAATGAATCGATCTCAACTCATAGCAACCCTCCAAGGCAGGGTAGAACTGCCCCTGTGGGTTTCCAAGAACTGGTGGCTTCAAACTATTGACCTTGCAATTGACAGCCCAATGTATTACCATGATACCACCAGGGCTCCTCTCTAATGACATACAATAACTATTTTAGTGCCTTTACACCTGCCAATCAATCTACTGGTGAACTCTATATGGGCTTACTGCTATTGTAACTTTACTTTCCATTGTCTGTCTACTCATCCATCTGTCATCAATGAGTCCTTGGTACCATCAAGACTTGTAAATAGTCTATATTTTGGTGCTTTATATGCAATTTTTGCCATTTCATAATTTCATTTTAATCTTCCTTATCTGGATAAAAAGCTCATCAAAAGAAACAACTGTTTTTCAAGTGGTTTGTATCATATTGTATCATGAAAAGTCTTTTATTTATTTCTGTTTATTTAATGCTTAACACCTAGTAGTGAAACCCAAAATTTTTACCAACATAGTTCACCTAAACTTTAACAAGCAATGAAGAGTTAAACCTGAGCAGATTACTTTCATACACAGTTCTGTCCTGCTATCAAAGAATGAAGAAACAACAAACAAAAATATAAAAACAAACCCTTTAGAAGAAACAGTAAGAACGAAAAATCAAACCAAAACTCCCTGCCATCAAGTCAATTCTGACTCACAGCGACTCTGGAAGATATGGCAGAACTGCGCTGGGAGCTTCAGCGACAGTCACTGCACGAGAGCAGAAGCAGAATGTCTCATCATTCTTCCAGATGGCTGGAAGGATGTGTTCATTCTCCCGTGAACAAAAAGTAATAGCAACAGTTTTAACTCTAGGAAGTTATGTTTTAAGTTGAGCCTGGAAAACTGTATACACGAACCATTACAGCTCAAAAGGAAAAAGGTTTTACTTACCATATGGGTTTCCATTAATATTTGTTCCTATAAGTTCCAGTGTTTGTTCTAGCAGATCTGATAGTGCTACTGCACTAATTTCCAAAAGTTCTGGATCATCAGGATGATGCTTCAATACCAGAGCAATTTCAAATTCATAATTAACTACAGAGGAATGCCAGCAATACTGTTTGTTGTTTTTCTCTACTGGTACCCAACCTATTATTTAAAGAAAAGTGGTTTTATTCTATTACTGTTTTTTGTTTGGATCAAGACCAGTTTATTTTTGGTGTAACTGTTCCATTTACTGAGTGTTCTATTAGTTTTAAAACAGAACACTTTTTAAAATAGTGAAAAGTTAGTGTTACCACTTTATTTTAAACATAAAGGTTAACTTTTTTCTTATGTAATGAATTTACATCTGATTCACTACAGAGCACCCAGCCATTCCTTCCTAAGACATTTAAATACCCAGATCTAGTAAGCACTGCACAGCACTTAATGCGGAGAATTCAACTTTTCATAGAATTACTTTTTCTCTGCCTTTTCTGCTCAGAACAATGGAAGTATTCTATAACTGACTGAACTGTCCCAATTATTACTGAGCAATTTATTGATTCCACATTTAGTGAATGTATTATTGCTATTTCCTGCTTCCTCAATATTGTCAGAATAAGCTCCTTCACTGGGGAATCCTTTCCAAAAATCAGTAACACAAAACTGCACTATATGACATTGTGGCCTCCTTTTATTTGGCTTTCATTACTCACCCAGATTACAAACTTCTTTGCTGGTCTGGTAGCCTTCAGTGAAACCCAGGCCCATTTTTACCAGAGCACAAATTGGGCTGTGGTCTGCAAGGTCAGTAGTTCAAAACCACTAGCTGACTGGTGGGAGAAATGCAGGGCTTTCTACACCAGTAAACCATGACAGTCTCAAAGATTCACAGGACAGTTCTACCCAGTCCTAATAGGGTTGTTATGAATCAGCATTGATTTAGTGGCAGTGAGAGTATTTCTAAATTTGAGTCTTGTACTCCCTTAATTAAAATCATCTTCAAACTCCTTGATTTTATAATCTCCAGATGTCATAAACCCTAACTATTCCTGCCATAAGGAAGTTTAATTTGAAACATCCTAAATGCACCATGCTCTCTTCCTGGGAGTTTTCCTAGGCCCACCCTCCTTCCTTCTTGCCAACTAAACTTCAATATAAATGTCAACTCTTGGAAGCCACCACAGAAGTTGAAATTCCTCTTTTGTCTCATTGCACTATAGGCAATCCTTTAGTCTTTAAATATTAGTGAAGATTCCCTTCAATGTCTAAAAGCAAGACAAGGGCTCTGATTTCCACTCTGGTATTATCAGAGTATAAAACAGTGGTTTGCACAAAATAACATTTAAAAAATACCCACCGAGCTAATGTTTACTCTGGAATTCTATACATCAACATACATTTCTAAAAAACTTCCCATGAGTCCCTAGAAAACTACAGTGAGATACTACTGTCAATTTCTTTTATCAAGATATTTTCTGGGGCCACTGCAAAAGAAAAAAAAAAACCTAAGCCCAAAACCAAATTCACTGCCACCAAGGTAATTCTCAGTCAGCAGTCCTATAGAACAGAATAGGATCATCCCTGAGTTTCCAGGGCAGATTTTCATCCAGAAAGCAGAGTGTGTTCAAACCACTGAACTCACTTGATTAGCCACAGCACCACGAAGGCCCCTCTTGCCCTACATTTCCCTTACTCTAAAGATAGAGGTCTCATGATGTCTCAGCCAGACCCTATCAATCTGTCTCATCAAGGGCATTAACAATATCCCAACTCAATGCTTCTGATTTTCACAGACAGTAAAATATAATATCTTACCAATATTCTAAGTTTGAGACAACATTCTTGATATTTAAAGGCTTTGGTATACACTCCTAGACCTCACAGACAACTGGTTTAGATTATTAAAAAATTAGTATAATTCTATTAATTTGTGATTGGGCTATTTGTTCTTTATACTAGTAAACACAAACAGAATTTCAAAAGAGATTTCATGATACCAGGAATGTGTCCATTCTCATCAGGGACAGGTTTTCCATTTAACTGTTCTATTTCTTTCGCTGGTAGCCAGTGCTCTGGAACAGGCTTGAAGTCCTCCTCAACATTCCAAAGAAATTCTAAAGGAATAGGATAATCTTAATGTGTCAGCAATTTAAAAAAAATATAAAACACCAAGCAAATTTAAAGCAGTAAGTAATAAACTCCTGAACACCATAACATTACTGTACTCAGAGTTAAGGTACTGACATGTGTTTTCAATTTTGAGCACAACATTTTAAAAAGGGGGTTAAAAAAGACTGGAAAAAATATAATTGACAGCTAATAGAATTCTTTTACATGAACTTTTTGAAGCCCCCTGATAATAAAAATCAAACACATTGATTATAGATAATGCAAGGTTGTCAAAAAGTATTGCTATCAAATCTAAGAAACTTTTTCTTTTAAGGGAGAACTACTGTTTCTTGACGCATCCTCCATCTACCCTGTTTCCCCGAAAGTAAGACATTCCCCGAAAATAAGACCTACTTACAGTTTTGCCTCTCGTTGAAATATAAGGCATCCCCCCAAAATAAGACCTCCCAAAAATAAGGCCCCCCAAAGCTACAAAGTTAACTCTGGACTCTGGGCCGTAGTGGTGGGTGCCGCTGTGCAGCTCACGGTTGGCCGCAGTGCAGCCGGAGAAGACAGGAAGTGCAAGGTCTCTTTTAATAAAACAATAAATAATAAATGTGTACCGTATTCTTCTACATGGAAAAATAAGATATCCCCTGAAAATAAGACCTAGCGCATCTTTGAAAACAAAAATTAATATAAGACACTGTCTTATTTTTGGGGAAACAGGGTAGGTTGATACAATTCAAAGGTGGTGTTTTCAGTCTCTGTGTTTTTTCTTAATTTACACCACATCAAAAGGGCAGTTATGGCATCTCTCCAAAAAGCCAAACTCACTCCCACTGAATTTTTTCCAGCTCACAGAAACGCTATGAGACAGAATAGAACTGTCCGTGTGTGTTTCTTTAGGGCAGCAGAAAGCCTCATTTATCTCCTGAACAGTAGCAGGTGGCTTGGAACTGCTGACCGTGTGGTTAGATTAACATCGAACCCGTAAGCAGCATCTAGGCTCCGCTAGGAACTTCCAAATATGTTCCTTGTAAATGTTCTGAGTTTGGGGAACACGAAGAAGTCTAAAGAGGTAAGATAGGGGCTGTCAGGTGGACTGAGTAAGGTTTCCTTACAAAGTCGTCAAAGGACACAGAAGGCCAAATGAATTGTTGTGATAGGAAATGATTCCTCAGTGCAACTTTCCTGGCCTCTTTCTCATCAATGCATGTTCAGGTTTTTTTCCAAACTTTTTCATAACAGGCTTCTTGTGATCAACCTGTCCTTTGAGAAAGTCTATCAAGATTAACCATTAAAAGCCAAATAAGAAACAAACAAACAAAAAAGCCTTTGACAGAACTCTCTGAGCCTTGGATGTAATTAGCCCAGCAGACAGCCGTGGAAGGCACTTCTGGATTCTGACTGAAGGCATTCTAACGAGACTAAGGCAGTGTACAGCAGGCTTTAAAAAGCTTGTGGAAAGATGGAACTGAAACTTGATGGAATCCAAAGTGGATAGAATTTTCCCCAAAACTTTTAAAACCATTTTCATATAATATTTACATGCATTTTAATGTACTAATGTAAAACATGAAATTTTTTTTGAGATTTGTGCCTGATTATAAAATTACATTCGTGTGTCTTAGATGTTACAATGTGTAGCAATTTCTGTACTTTAATAAAATTATCTCACATTATAGGCCCAGAAATACTATGAAACATTGTAAATGTTTCAAGAATATTCTTTCATGCATAAAAATATTCTTTGCCCCAAACTGTTGAAATTATCCAGAGCAATATAATGAACAGAAATACCACACACACAGCTCTGTAAATAATGAAAAAGGGGGTTTAAAAAATGTCCACTAACCTTCTGAATTTTCTTTAGAATGTAGAAATTTTTTAAATCTTTTTTCAGCCTGTTTGTTAGGTTTTCTGTCTAGCCTCGCCCAAAGGTATGGCTGGCCTAAAACAAAAATAGTAATAGGGAGAGGACAGGAAGAAAAACAACACATTACATTGAAAGATTTCTGATAATTTTTCTAGAAATAAAAGTCACCTTCTCTAAGAGAAGTGGCCTAAGTATACACTCTAGTGGTAACTGGTGCTATCACACTTAACTCTTTAGTGAAAGAATAACAGGAGTGAAGGAAAAAGCAAATGTCTGATACTTTTATAAGACACTATAATTTTAATAACTATCATTTGTGAGGAAATGAAGTAATCTGGAAACATGCTATGGAAATGGAATGTACTAATAAGGTTCCTTATAAGCATGGTCTAAAGGTGTTTCCGGGCAGTATGCCAGCAAGGCACATGCCTGTATCACCAGCAAAATATAAAGCCTTCCAGCTGAGAATCCACTATGGCCTCCTTCCGTGCACACATCACGTCGTCATGATTTGAGCCCCTGCAACCTTAGAGGGGGAGGGCAAAAGGGGCCTGCACCTACCTTCCCTGGCTGTGACATGTGTATCCTTACTCCTAATACTGACTATACTGGTTAGCCTTTTTCTTAAACTATGGATTTGTTAACACAATTTTTGAGTGCTTCTAGCAACCCAGCCTTTTGTATTTGCCACCAATATACATACTAACACAAAATGATGCAATTGATGCATCTTAAAAAAATAAAAGTTGTGAGCAATTTAAAGACAGGTTAGCAAATACAGCATGAGGGGGCCAAAAAATTCATGGAAAAATGTACCTTTTCATCCCATTTTCCCATGAACTTTTTAAAACTCCCTTGTATAATAAAATGAGACAATCATCAATGGGTTAACACTTCACTGAGCTCCATGGAAAGAGGTCAAGCTTAAAAGTTGGGAAACAGGGTCTGTGACCACTTTGTCCCTTCATTTATGACATGCTTTTGTACAAATTATTTCTAAGTTCCTTGAGCCTTGATTTCCTCATATAAAAATTAGGATGCTTATGGGTGAACTAAGGATAATACATTTAAGGCATCTATCATGCTGCCTGGCCTTTAATCAGCATCACATGTTACAGTCCTTTCCTCCTTTAAAGACACCATGATATAAAAAGTTAGTACAACAATTTGCATTATTTTGCTCATAAGTGGTTGTTAGGTGCCACTGGGTTGGTTTCTACTCACAGTGACCCAATGTTCAAAAGAACGAAGCACTGTCCTCACACTGTGATGTCTGACCCCACCGTTGCAGCCAGTGTCAATCCTGTTATGTTAAGGTTTTATCCAAGGGTTTATGAAAAACAAATACCCCATTTCAGATTTAGGTTTGTAACATTTTAGAGTAGGATTATATTTACAGTAAAATATTAGTTTTATTTTACCTTTGTAGGTAGTAACATAACAACATGTCCCATCCACTTTTTCTGTTGGAATTGCACTGTGTATATCTGCATCTAATGCCTTGTGATTTAGAGTTTCAGTTGCCAAAACCTTAAATGGCTTGAGAGAAAGAGAGAACTGGTTTAAGATAGACAGCCTCTATGCCTTTGCACACACCCTCACCTGGAATCTCATTAATTTTACTAGGTCTAAGGGATGATCAACTATTCATCCTTATAGACAATTAAAACTACTGCTCCTATGAAGTTCGCCTGAATCATCCCCCTTTTATACAATTCCAGCACTACCTGTTTTTCCCCACAGCTTTGTAATTACTTACAAGGCATTCAGCAAGTATTCAGAATGTGGAACCATTTACTTGACAATTTTAAAATACCTGCTATCTGCTTGGCACTGGGGATAGAAATGAATGAGAAAGTACCAGCCTCGGTTGAATTTGCATTTTAGTAAGGGAGGTAACAACAAAAGGCAAACTATGATGTGAGAGCCAAGAAGAAAAGTGGGAGAAAAACAGAGGCTGTGGTATGTTTTATACACGGGGTCAGGGATGTCTTCTGTGAGCAGACCTGAAGCGGCGGAATGAGCCATGCAAACATCTGAACAAAAAGGTCCCAGCCAGGAGGTTGCTTGATATTTCTAATGCAGTGGGGAAACTTAGGAAATTAGCCCCAATCTTTTTAATTTTTATTTTATGGGGGTTCCTACAGCTTTTATCAACATCCGTACATATACCCATTTTGTCAAACACATCTGTACATATGTTGTCATCAACTTTTTCAAAACATACTCAAGCCCCTGGCATCAACTCATTTCCCCCCTCCCCCACTCTCCTTCCCTCCCCCAGGCCCCCTTGATTTTTTTTCTTCATGTTTTACACCAACTGCTGCTCATTTCACCCACTATTCTGCTGTCTGTCCCCCTGGGATTGGGGCCATACGTCAATCATTGTGATCGGTTTCCCCTTACCACCCACCACACCTTCCCTTAAGCCCTCCTAGTATCGCTGTTCCCCTTATTGGTCCTGAGGGGTTTATCTGTTCTGGATTCCCTGTATTTCGAGCTTTTATCTGTCCCAGTATACAGAATTGGGTCAAGGTAATGGGGAGGTGGCAGGGAGCATTAAAGAACTAGAGGAAGGTTGTATGTTTCATTGGTGCTATACTGCATCCTGACTGGCTCTTCTCTTACGGCCATTCTAACAGGGGAGTGTCCAATGGACTACTGATGGGCTTTGGGTCTCCACTCTGCTCTCCCCCTCATTCCCATTGATATGCCTTTTGCCCCATTCTTGAACTGAGCTGGTACTTTCAAGACATAACTTTCAATACTGTTTATGGGATTTATCACTACTTAAGCCCTTGCAATCAGCGGCTATCAATCATCCCTGGAGGGCTGGGCAGGATGGCTTTGCTGTGGAGCTTTTCAAAACCCACACTGCCCCTGAGCTGAGCCCAACTCACAGTGACCCTACAGGACTGCCCCTAGGGGTGCCCAAAGCTGTATAACTCACTACAATAGGAAGCCTCATCTGAAGCAGCTGGTGATTTTGAACTGCTGATCATGGGCAGTTCACTACATGAGCAGGGCTCCTTCCATTGGGCTCTTAATGAGCACAAATATTCTTATAAGAATCTACCAATGATAGGCACCTTCCTATGTTACCTTCCATTTTTTGCTATTGACAAGTCCAACGGGCTGCCTAAGACATTAGGGGGTACATGAGATTCTCTACTTCTCATGAAGACGTTAGAATATAACTAGAAAAAAGGCTATGTGTGTATAAAAACATGTCGCAAATGTCAACTGGGTGGTCCCCTACAATTTCTGGAAGAAGGAAAGCAACGAGGCAGCTGAGTTGATCAAAGACTGCATTGAGAAGCTACAAGCTAAGAAAGGAAACATCCAGATAATCCAGACAGTGGCTAGTCTTAGCAAAAGTATGAAGACAGGGTTATGCTGGACATATGTTCACAGGACCATAGACTTTGCTAGAGTAAAAGCTTCAGTGTGAAATGAGAAAGAAAAACGGGAATGATTTAAAGGGAGATTTTGAACCATAGTTAATACTATGAATGCTACACTAAAAACTATAAACTACTCTTCGTTCGGGAGGAATAGGGCAACATTTTCTGGGTGGAGGGTACTTTACATCCTATATACCTTCCCTCACCATCCAAAATTGAGAATCCAGCTAAAATGGAGAGCCACTGGTAGAGTGAACTGAAATTACTAAATGAGATTGAATCATATGGATTAGGTTTGTCACAACTTTTTTAAAATGCTACAAACCACGAGTAATTGTGGGATTTTCCTCAGGGAACAATGTGAGATGGTCATTCTTGGTAGCAAGTGAAGCTACCAAGTTAGGTGATGACAGAATAAAGGATAAAAAAGCCAGATGTTACTAATAAAATGTGTAAACTGAAACATTAAAAACATGCACCAAATCAATTGGAAGTTCATTCTTTAATTCAGTGAGTCCCAAGCTCTAGTGGCAAGAGTCTGGAAAGCAATGGCTTGCTACCCCTAAGGTCTGCTGTTCAAACCCACCAACACACAGAAGAAAAGATGAGCCCAAGAGCTGCCGTGAAGCTTGACATTGACAGCCTTCGGAATACTTTACAGGGTCGCTATGACTCAGATTCTACTCAGCGGGAGTGCGGTGCCATGTGCCTGTTCCTAGATGCTGTTTCCTATAGAAATAACAAGACGGCCTCCACCTTCACGGTCTTTTAGTTAAGAAGACACGGAGAAGGCCAGTGTCGCTGACGTACAATGACTTCAAAAAGCTCATGCAAAAAATGCCATTATCCATTATCATTTCATTCCATTTTTCCAGAACTTTTTGAAGCCTCATTGTGTTTGATGATGTAAAATGGATCTGTTCGTTTTGTATAATCAGGAGGAAATACAAAAGGAAAAGCTTGCGCTTCTGCTGCCCAAGGGCTTCCTTACAATAGTGGAGAGTAAACGTGATTCGGGTTACTTGTACATTAGCCAGCATTGACAAGGTCCTGCTTTACGGACATGTGGCTTGGCCAAATTTTGGAATTGGAACACCAAAATTCTAATCAAAACACTGGATAACAGTAGATAGATGGCGGTCCAAACTTTAGTAGAACTTTCTATTAGGCTACACGGTCCCCGGTTAGAAAGGGGAAAGCAAGTGTTCTAACATCTCCAATTTGTAGCCAGCCTGTAGAACAACATCCGAGTCGATTCTGACGCATAGTGACCCACCGGGCAGAGAAGCGCTGCCCCTTGGGTTTCCGAGACTGTCACTCTTTATGGGACAGAACGCATCCCCTTTCCCCCATGGCACGGCTGGTTTCGAACTGTTGATCTTGCAGTCAGCAGCCCAACACGAACCCCTTCCCGTACTGACGGCGTTCCTCCAAAAAGTGCTAACGTCACGATGCGTGGGAAACGTTCGTTTGCACCTTCCCTCCTTTATAAATTAAAAGGTAAAAGCTGAGCTCAGAGGCTGCAGTGCCCTACCTGAGATCTCCCCCAGCGAAATGCGCCTGGTGCGCAAGGCGGCTCCAACGCGCCCAGGTGCGGGGCTCTGGGGCGCCCGCTAAGCGTCCCCACTAGGTTCCCAGCGTCCCCGCGCCGCTCGGTACCTGATGCTCCCTCTTGGTGGAGGGCTCCTCCTTCACTTCCGTCACAAACACGCACGGCATTTTCCGCTGCACCGAGCCCAGGCGCCTCATGGTGGGCTCAGAAGGCACTGCGATTACAGCGCGCGCTTCCCAGCTGGGAGAAAGTCACCAACTCGTAGCCACAGCACCCTCCACACTCCGACCCGCGCCCACGGCGGCGCCTGCACACCGCGCAGCCCAACCGGAACAGAGGGGCAGGATCCACGCCTCCCGGAAGCAGCCGCTCGGCCGCGGCGCCTTCTGGGAGTTGTAGTGCGCGTGGTTGAGGAGCCCCGCAGTGCGCATCCTAGTGCGACCCTGGGTTCTGAAAACACGGAAAAACAAAGATCCGTTTCCGGGGGTTGCGTGATTAGCCACGCTTAGTAACCGACGATGTTTTTTGAACATTAAATAATGATCAATTATTTCAGAGGGCGATTTAACAACATTCTGAGCAAGCCCATTATTCTGTTCTCTTTAAGAAATTCCTTGGGAAGCACTTGGGGAGAAATTTAGAAATATCCCCAGCACAAAGAAAAGCGATTCCCTTAGAGAATGTTAGAAAACGCTACATCTAAACCAAAACATACATTAAACAAGTTAGCGTGGACCACACTTCATTGTGCAATATAACGGCGGCGGGGAACCCCGATGCCAATACCCAGATTTCGATTTCAAAGGTTTTCAAAGACTCCCGTTCATCTTTAATGTGCGCTCCAACAGAGCCCAAATGACAGTAGTTGTACTCAAGTGACTGTACGCAATAACTTTATTTGGCTTCATTGCTAAAAAGAGGGTAAGTGATGAATAACAGAATAAAATATATTGACTATCAAATAAAAGACTTCCTGGTTCATTGAAACTTGTAGTTCTTAACCTAAACTTGAAAGGGAGATTTGATTTGATTGCCGTGTTAATAAGCTGACCCCAAATTTCTATAATTTTCCTATATGCAAACATCCAACTGTCTAGCATTTTACTGAATTACCCTTGGAAATTTAAAAAAGTCGAATCTCAGCTAGAGGTAGCGAAATAATAAGGGGGCCTAAAGAACAACTCCTTGAAAAAGTTACTGTTCTTTCCCCTATGCCTTGGGGAAAGAGGGAAGAAGAGATTTCTCATTTCAAATTATTTACTCTCTTCTATTTTTAATTTTTCCATAGGAAAAAAAGACTAGTAAAATGTAAAACAAGATAACAACAAACCACTGATGCTGGCTGGAGATACTGGGACCAGTAACTGCTAACTATTTTACAGTCTACCACCAATGAAAAAGGAGCCAACAATTATGTAAACAACTCCTTCAGCTATCAACTACTATTTTTCAAACTGCCACAGAATCTTCTAGGTTCAGCATTCTATCATCTCGGAGGAAGAGTTATCTCCCAAAACATTCCACTTGCTCTTTAAATATTAGCAGCAAGGTGACCACCTCTCTAGAGTAAGTTTCATCAGTGCCTGGAGAAACGTCTGACACAAACTGAGGAGCCCAAGGAAGGGGAGAAGAAATCACACTTACAATCAAGGCTTCTACTCCACCAGGTATTGTCTGATTCTCTTCAACCTGAAAAGCCACGGACGCCTCACCAACCCCTGATAAGTAAAGTGGAAGTGTAGAATTAGAAACTGGAAGAAAGGCTTTCTTCTCTCGCGCATTAATCTTCTGGTGTGCAGCAAAGATGAAGGCAGAGTCTGCTTTGGCCAACACAATGTAATTACAAAATTTCTACACCTACCCTATCTGTGGAGGCAAATTTCCCCCCACTCTTCACTGCAGAAGGAAAACTTCTCAAGGCCATAGCTTTTCCTCAAAGATTAGTCTGGATTTCACAAGAAAGAAGAGAGAAGAAAGAAGGAAAGGAGACCCGGGAAATGAAGGAAAGAAGCAAACACAAAAGAAAAGAAGAAGAAACTAGGGTGCCAGGTATTCCAGAATATTCTGATCTGTAGACTCTTTCCTGCAGTGGCAAAACTAGTTACTCAGATTTGGTAGGTTTTGGCAGTTTCTAATGGAAAAACCTGAGGGGAAAGCATTTTTTTCTAGCATAAAAACATTTTTCAGCCTTTCTTCTATGTTTACCAAACTAAAAATACTGCCATCGAGTTGATTCTAACTCAAAGTGATCCTATATAAATTTATATGAGAGCAGAAAGCCTCATCTTTTTTCCACGGAGCAGCTGGTGGGTTTGAACCACCGAACTTCTGGTTAACAGTTGAATGTTTACCTGAAAAACCACCAAACCCTACAGATTCTTACAATTATTTTAATGATGATGTTACATGTAATCATACAACAATGCTGTTTGATAGCTGTATTTTAAAATAGTCCAATGTAGTTACAAGTGCATAGGCAAGCAGGGAATTTATTTGAATCAAATACCAACTGAAAATACTCCTTTGGGTTGTTTTCCCAATGGCCTCTCTAATTAAGATAGATATTCTATTGTTCTAGAAACATAGGCAAAATGGGAGCCACTATTTCATGTTTTTCTAATAATTTCAAGGATTTAACCAGATCTTTTCTCTATTCACGACTTACCTCTAATAGCACCAATTCCTACTTTTAAATAGTTTATTTATAGTTATAAAACAGCTTTCTAAAATGCAGTTTCTTTTATTTTTAGATTTTTATCTTTACATTTGATCAAATATCATCTCTATGGCATTTTAAGTGACATTTTTGTGAAAAAATATATATATGCATATGCTAGGTTCTAGTTCTTTTAATAAAGAGAGTAAAACGAAGACCTCAGTAACTGCTGATTGAAATGTCTCATTCTGGAAATCTAAGTATTTTACTTTGTTTTCAACAAAGTCTCAGAAAGTGAAAGCACCCTGGAAACATTATGTTACAGGAAGGACTCTTCCCTTTATTGTGGATGAAAAAAATGCATGGGATGTAGCTACACGATACATAAGTAGTTCGATTTGTTTTTAGGTATCTTTTTAATATATGATGAATGGAATATAATTTTCCCCAAATCATTGGATAGCCGTGAGTACATACTTAAGCAATTTATTATCCTGTAATAGGGATAGCATATTTTTCTATTAACTTATATTAAATGCTTAGTTTTGTTTCCAAGCTATATATAGAAATAAGGACTTAGAAAATAAATATTAACTTGTGAAAAATTTAATACTTCTTAATTAAGTAGGCACTGGCTTATGTTCCAGATTCAATCATCAGATTGGCAGACAACATATACAGACAACAAGTATAAAACATATACTGTTTTATATTTATGAGCCCTTTTGTTAAAATACTAGATTCAAGAGGAAGGGAAATACTGTACCCTATGGTCAAACTAGCTGACAGTTACACTGAGGTCATTTATGATGAGCAAACAATTGATTAGGTAACAGTGAGAATAATTCTGGAAGTTTGAGTTTGTGGGCTGACTAGCAACCATTTTCAACATTTCTGCAAAGCTAGAGAAGGTATCTTCTAATTTAAATTTTGTTAAGGATTATCTAATATGTAAAGGTTAGTTTTAAGGGATTATTATTAATAGACTGAAAGTCTGTGGAAAAGAAACCTTTTCCCCCATACACACTGATAGTTTTTCTATTTGCATTCCTGCAATTCTCATATGTATTTACATATATAAACATTGGATTAGCAGCAAGAGAGTTGAAAATGGCAGAAGCTGGGAATGACTGCTATTTCTTTTTTAATTCCACATGCATCAAGGTAAATATTGTACAATCTACAGTACTTCACCTGCTTAAGCTTTGTAGTAGAATGAAGGGCGAATAGCCGTGATTGGGGTCATTTGCATTGCTGGATGAAAATGAGCTGAGATCCCACTAAATAGTCTATGTACTTCCGATCTGTACTAAATTCTCATCATGTATTTTAGGTATGCTGGATTTCTCTGAGGGAAATCCGAGATCATGCAGACTTGTGATTTGTTTGAAACTGTATAAGCAAGTTAGATGCCTAGGGCTTCCCCATTGACGAGTGGCACTTTTGTCGGTGCTACGACTCTTCAAGACATAAAATCCTGTGCATTAAAACCATGATCATATTCACTTTACTGCTTTAGTTAAAATGATTCCAACCATATCAATTCAAGGTACTGATTCTTGCCACTATCAAACTTAGTTTAATATGTTTAATAGACTCCCTATTTGTAATTCTTTAATGTAAAACGAATTTTTTTCTTGTCAATAGTCCTTCTAAGAAACAAATATTTAAATATGGAAAAAAGAAAAAGAAGTAGTATAAACAGATAGTCCAGTTATAAATATTAAAGTCTATAAAGCTACATAGGGAAAAAGAGTTAAAGTAATCCAGGAAATTAGGTTGGATGAAACAAAATAAATATAAAAACTGTATGACTAGTGGTTTCTAGTTATGATAGAATGGACCCAAGGAAAAAGACCGTGCCTGATTTAAAGTCTTTACCAGGAAGCCTGAGTGAAGCCAACCTCTATGACCATAAGCATTAGATCCACTCTTATTAGCGGTAATTTTCAGTCTAAACCCCGATATAAAACTCCCTCACTGCCATCGGTGCATCCAGCTCTGAAGTAGAAATGGAAGTGTAGCTCAATGTGGTCTGAGAATTTCGTCCATTCACAGGGCCGTAGCGTAGCCCCACGTACTGAGTACCGTGACTAATGTGGGCAGTAGGTTCTCAATAATTGAGGAATGACTAAAGAATAATAATAGAACTCAGAATAACCCACATCACATAATTCATTCAAAAGTTCCTCTAAGGGGAGAGGATTTTCCCCCCCAAATTTCTTCAATACTTTTATTTATTTATTTTAAAATCATTTTATTGGTGTTTCTCACAGCTCTTATAACAATCCATACATCCATTGTTTCCAGCACATTTGTACATATGTTGCCATCATCCTTTTCAAAATATTTTCTTTCTACTTTAGCTCTTAGTATCAGCTCCTCATTTTTTGCCGCCCTCCCCATCCTCCCACTCTCATGAACTCTTGATAATTTATAAATTATTATTATTTTCATATCTTATACCAACTGCTGTCTCGCTTCACCCACATTTCTGTCATTTGTCCCACTTGGGGGAGTGGCAGCTATATGCGTTTATTGCGATTGGTTCCCCTTTTCTCCCCCACCTTCCCCTTCCCCTCATAGTATCTCTACTCCCATTATTGTTCCTGAGGGGGTTATCTATCCTGGATTACCTGTGTTGAGAGCTCTTATGTGTACATTCTCTGGTCTAGCTGGATTTGTAAGGTAGAATTAGGGTCATGATCGTGGGGAGCATTAAAGAAGTAGAGGAATATTGTATTTATATGTTTCATGGGTACTATACTGCACCTTGGATGGCTCATCCCTTCCTTGTGACCCTTCTATGAGGTGATATCCAATTGTCTACAGATGGGCTTTGGTGCTCTACTCCACAGCCGCCTCTCCCCGCCCAAACTCGTTCACAACAATATGATTGATTGTTCTGGGTCTTCTGATGCCTGATACCTGATCCCATCAAAACTTCATGATCAAACAGGCTGGTGTGCTTCTTCCATGTGGATTTTGTTGCTTCCATGCTAGATGGCCATTTACTTATCTTCAAGCCTTTAAGATCCCAGATGCTATATATTTTGATAGCCGGTCACCATCAGTTTTCTTCACCACATTTCCTTATGCACCCAATTTGTCTTCAGCAATCTTCTCAGGAAGGTGAGCACCACAGAATGCCAAAGTGTTCTTGCATTGAGTGAGTACTTGAGTAGAGGCCCAATGTCCATCTGCTACCTTATTATTTAACATATAATATATGTACATAGAACTATATCTCTATTGTTAGATATAAATGTATTTACATATGCATGTGTCTATATTGATAACCTCTACAAATGTCCTTTGACCCCTAGTTCTTTCCTTTATTCCCTTTAACTTTACTCCTATCCCACTATCATGTTCTACCTTCATTCAGCTCCCAGTAATTCCTCTCGGCAGCATTGCACTCGACCAAGCCCCACCAGGAATCCTATGTCCTCCTCACCATCAATATTAGATCACTTGTTCCCTTGTGCCTGGGTCTGTTGGCTCC